ACTCACATTCCCACTCTACACTCATCTCATTTTCACCCCTTCACCTCACTTCACGCCGCCCTTTTCCCTTCCACCCCATCCCCATTTTTCTTCTTTACGCCACCCTTCCCACGACCCCTTCCATTTCTCTCTCCCACCACCCCCGATTAATCCCCCCCTCTTCCTTTCCCATCTCTGTCCTCCTACTTCTTCTCCCCTCACCTCACCTCACCTCACCTCACCTCACCTCAACGCACCTCCGGCCTTTTGCCCGCCTCTTTCCCCTACTCACTTATGTCCGCGCGTGTGTGTGTGTGTGTGTGTGTGTTTGCTGATGTGAAACAGAAACAGAGAGAGAGAGAGAAAGTGAAAGATAGAAGAGATAGCTAGATAGATAGATAAAAAGATAAATAGATAGGGACAGATAGATAGATAGACAGAAAAAGATGGATAAAGAGAGAGGGGAGAGCGAGGGAGAGAGAGATAGAGAGAGAGATTGAAGAAAGAGAGAGCGAGAGAGAGAAAGAGAGAGAGAGAGAGAGAGAGAGAGAGAGAGAGAGAGAGAGAGAGAGAGAGAGAGAGATCGCCCTTTCTAAACGGACAATACTCCTCCACGAGTAATAGTACAACACTCAAAACCGTTGTTCATTTTCATTGGTTCTCCAAGATCTGCATCCACGTACATCTCCTTGTCATCCATTGCATTTAAAGCAAAGACTTTGTTGCTGTTTTTTTAGCACATCTGTAGATTGAATAACTCAAGTACCTGCTTGTATTTTTTCTACGCACCTTTTCTATTATGATATAAATAATGTCGTGACAGAAGTACTCGAAAGAAGAAAATTGCATAAACGTGTTCATAAAAAGAAAAGTTAAATCATGTCATTGTTTTTGTGCAATATATTCCCATATCTCACTATACCAGATCTGCACAATAATTGTCGTTCCACGGTTACATTTAATAATTTTCCACAGTGTTATTATATTAGCACGTATCTTTTATCGTATGAAGTATTACTTTATCTTTACTTATTTAGATAATATTGTATGTCATTGGAAATCCATTCCATTGCAAAGTAATCACAATAGTATTATGATAATCTCATGAGCATTCAATAAACGCAAAATTCTTTATTCATGCAATAATTTTGTCTCTTTGTGAATTGAAACCACGTTGTTATTTTTTTCCATATCCCAGAAAAGACATCGGTCCGTCTTCAGATATAAGTCGGTTGAATTTATTGCTCATGAAAAACAGGCTTCTGGCAGTTTCGAGACACTATCTGCTTCCTGGGAAGCATTGAATTCGCGCTGCCACTTTTCAGCCACTCAAACACGAACACAGATTACTGTCCCGCCCCCCCCCCCCCCCCATCTCTCTCTCTCTCTCTCTGTCTGTCTGTCTGTCTGTCTGTCTGATCATGTACCCTTTCCCGCCTGTATGAAGTGAGGGGGGAATTAAATCTATACATATTATGTAACGTATAATAATAATAATAATAATAATAATAATAATAATAATAATAATAATAATAATAATAATAATAATAATAATAATAATAATAATAATAATAATAGATATCATTTGTATAGTGCAAATTCCTGCTCAACAGCAAGCTCTATGCTCTTCACAATCTATACTATTACCCCAGCAGACCTGACAGCATTCTGAAAAAAACCTCAACTTCCTGGAAAGCACATAGTGCAAGCAGCCATTTATAGGTGCTAAAACACGAACCTACTGACAAGATCTTTCGCTGTCTATGGCCGGGTGCCCATTCCCACCTGGGTGAAGTGGGGAAAATTCGTGTAAAGTGTCTTTCCCAAGGACACAAAGTCGGGCCCGCGGCCTGTACCCCGGAGCCCGCAACCTCGCGATTACGAGTCCGGTAGCCTAACCACATAATATCCTCTGTGGATGAGGGCGAGTCTGGCAATCTACGATGATGTTCGTCTGGAGGACAAGGACCTTGGCGGGGTGGGGGGGGGGGGATGGATGATCAGGCAGAAGTTTGTATCGAAATGTCTGTTGGAATGGAGGCAGGGGGTGTGTGGGGGGGTTGTTGGGGGGGGGTGACGTCACATTATTGGGGGTGGGGGTGTGCCGAAATAGATGATCAGGCAGATCTTGGCTTGGAAAGAGTATAATGGGGAGCAGGGGGTGTTTATTTGGCTGTTCCTGGCTGGGAGGTGGGGATTTTTCCGTCTTTTCTCAACTGCAAACGGGTATCTTCAACAACCATAAGACTACCCCCATGCACATGTTTTTTTTAAACTTATCGCCGTCTATCTGTAGGCTACCATGACCAAACAATAGCTCGCTTTCCCAGCAAATTCATTCCAAATGATGAAATCGGTCCTTCCGGGAGGATATACTGCATCATAGTTTGCTGACTGCATCCTTTTTACGCGCTCTTAGAATGGCAGGGTTCTAGCGCCACTGCTTGCGAAAACTGAGTTACACATAATATATAAAATACGCCATATGATTATAGAGGGGTCAAACATTCGTGGTGCAACTTATCCTCAAATATCTCTTTAACGGGTGAATCAATGTCACCCATACTTCGCTATAGCAGTTTATATCAATTTGTCTTAATAATCAAATTCCCCCACAACAACTGAGGCTCGATAAAAAAAAATTCTTCATAAATTTATATAAAGTACTATATAAATCTCCATTAAGAGGAAAATATGATGTTGACAGCACTTCCCGCTTCTCGAATACATTTTGCATACGCATATGGCCTACGCCACAGCTCGTCAATGACACTTTTTGTGCCAAATGAGAAATTGATTTGATAGTGAACAGACGGAGATTTATAGTATTTTATATTAAAATATGAAGAAAAGTTTTTTAATCGAGTCTCAATTGTTGAGAAAAATATGATTAAGTTAAGACAAATTGATACAAACTGCAGTGCAAACTATGGGTGACGAATATTAACCCATTTAAGAGATACTTAAGACGTTGCGCCACGATTTTTTGAGCGCACTATAGCAAACACCTCTGGGAAAACCGGGCGCTAAGACGACGGTTCACCAACAGCTAGAGAGAGAGAGAGAGAGAGAGAGAGAGAGAGAGAGAGAGAGAGAGAGAGAGAGAGAGAGAGATAGAGATAGAGAGAGAGAGATAGATAGAGAGAGATATAGAAAGAGAGATAGAAAGAGAGAGAGAGAGAGAGAGAGAGA